TTGGATTGTTTTTATTGTTTTTAATTGTTTTACAGTTTTATAATTGTAAATTGCCCAGTCACTACTAGGCTGAGATGGGCAGCTATAGAAATTGAATAAATAAATAAGGTAAAGGTTCCCCTTGCACATATGTGCTAGTCACTCCTGACTCTAGGGGGCAGTGCTCATCTCCATTTCAAAGCCGATGAGCCAGCGCTGTCTGAAGTCGTCTCCGTAGTCATGTGGCCGGCATAACTAAACGCCAAAGGTGCACGGAATGCTGTTACCTTCCCACCAAAGGTGGGCCCTATTTTGCTACTTGCATTTTTTACGTGCTTTCGAACTGCTAGGTTGGCAGAAGCTGGGACAAGTAACAGGAGTTCACCCTGTTACGCTGCACTAGGGATTCGAACCACTGAACTGCCAACCTTTTGATTGACAAGCTCAGCGTCTTAGCCACTGAGCCCTACTTTTAATTACTATTTCTTGTCTTAATTATGCAGTTGAACAGACCAGGGATGCGGTGGGCTAAAAATCAAATAATGAAATATCAGTACTGAACTCCATAGTCACTTTTCCAGCTCTATGTTCCACTTAGTGGCAATGGTGGGCTCCCCGTCTCTAGAGACAACTGATTGCAGGTTCTCCCTGTAGCTAAAAATATCAGTGCACAATTTTATTTGCACACACTAGAATAACAAACAGGGGAAGAACAGCAATCAGCAATAGTAGAAAGATGGCCTGTAATTTGTGGGTAGTGGTCTCACAAGATTCAGAAGGTAGGATAGGCCAGCTGGAGTATGAGTTAGGCCTTTGGGATTCCCCATTCCTTACATACAGAACATTTTTAACCTGCCAAGTACTCAAATTAATATTCCAGAGGCCTTGGTAAATGCCTTTTCCCCTGCTGCATGTCAGGCCTGGCAGACAGTGCTTTTCATTTTAGTTCTGATATTCTGATAGAGCAAAAAAGTTTGATCAGTTTTTCTGCTGTGATCAGAGTAAATCTGAAATACATAGTTAATGTCCCTGCTGATATGGTTATTTTTAAGATATCTCCTGTAATATCTGGTTTATTTCTTTAAATTATTTTATGCTTTATGTGCTCGAAGCTATATAATATTAGTACAGGCAGTCCTCAACATACAACTATAATGGAGTCTGTCCATTATGATTGTATATCATAATGGCTGTAAAACAAGTCGGTCACGTGACCAACCTAAATTTTATGAGGCTTTTTTGTAGTAGTCATTAAATAAGAGTTTTGCTAAAAAAACAACAACACAGAAGTGCCAGTTTTCTGCAAAACCACCACACAATTGTGAAACATCTTGCCCTCAAAGGAGAGGAACGCCCCCAATCTTTTGGCCTTCTGCAATGGGGTCAAAACATAGTATGTAGCTTTGCATGGGGGACACAGGGGCCCAACCAGCCATTGGACTAGTTGGCCCTGTGAAAATTCCCCCCCCCTCACATACCTATATTAACAACTTCTAGTCTCTCCATTTAGGAGCTCTCCCTCATTTGCAATTTTATAATGTTGTTTTACATTTTTAAAAAATTAATTTTAAATTATTCTGTTTTAATGTTTTATTGATTAAATAAATTGGGTCAGTCAATTAACCCTTAAGTATTGAAATAGCAAATATTCTTTTTCTTAACATTTCCTTTCATTCTATATTAGCTTGCCATCTTTTGAATAGAAAGAAAGCCTGGGGCTAGCAATAGCTTACACTAGTCTCTAAATCTTGTGTCATTTAGTTTTTAAACTACAGCATTATCCAATTCATTATGACTTTATATCTTGTATGAAATGAGCCACTGTGGTTTGGACTTGACATTATGGTATGAAGTCAACATACAGTGGTTCTTCAATAAGCTAAACAAAGCTCACTGTGTGAATCCTGTTCATTTACTTCATTTCAGTCAGTTATTCCCATCTTGATCACGTCCTTCTAATTCTCATCACAAGGTTTTTGTAGAGTAATGGAGGCTGTCTGGGGTTCTGAAACACCAGCCAAGATAGCAAGACCTTTTCTGAACCTGCCACATGATATCTGCCTTAGCCAGGTAATGGCACTAATGTTCCCGTAAAACACTAACATAGACAGAAGGAGAGAGAAATATATTGATTTGGGTCATTTAATCCAAATGCCAGGTAAAGAATCTATCAAAAGTAAGTAATTAACTTCAATCCTAAAAACATGCTTTGCAGTTCAGAAGTATGTTTTGCAGCAGATCTAATAATTCATTTGTGCTCACTAGCCAATTTAATGACAATGGCACTCAGATAATGGCCATACTCTATACTACTCCCATTCCATTCCAAAAAGAAAATGGAACATCCTTCCTATCTTACTAATATTTTAATATGACATACATTACCAAACTATTTAGGTCAGGGGTGAAATCTACTTACCTTCCCTACTGGTTCGGAAGTGCACGCGCCACACATGTCACATGCATGTGCGGACCCTCTGCGCATGCACAAACCCTTCTGTGAATGCGCAGAGGGTAAAAACCAGGTTACTTCCTGGTTAAAACCAGGAAGTAATGACAACCGGGTGGGTGGGCGGAGCCTCGTGCTGCCATTGCTACCGGTTCTCCGACCCACCCGCCACCATCGTTACCGGTTCAACTGAACTGGTCCGAACCGGCAGCATTTACCCGATTTGGGCCCAAATCACATGCAGAACACATCAATTTTGATATAATTGTCTGCAGAGAGACCTGCTGGGAGGGAAGGAATATCTTGTGATGACATTTCCATACTGTGTAAACTGCAATCTTATGTTAAAAATGCAATAAACTAAACAAAGCGTGGATTGATTATCCATTACTCGTGGGTAGGAGAAAGCAACATGTATTTTGCACGAACATGTTAATAATGCACAGAAATTCAAAACTGGTAACTGGTCCTGGGTCCAACGTAGAGATCGTGTAAGGCAGGATTTGGGGGGCAGGGTCTGAAAAAAAAAGGCCTAACTTCCTTCTCACACTAAAGACTAAAGAGGGGCTAAAAGTTTCTCTCAAATTTCAGAACTTTACCAGGGAATCACAATAAATACCTATGCCAGTATACCATTTATCATACTACAGGTAGTCCTCGACTTACAACAGTTCATTTAGTGACTATTCAAAGTTACAGCTGCACTGGAAAAAGTGATTTATGACCATTTTTCACACTTATGACCTTTGTAGCTGCCCCATGATCATGTGATCAAAATTCAGATGCTTGGCAACTGATTCATACTTATGCCGTTGCAACCTTTTCACAAGCAAAATCAATGGGGGAAGCCAGATTCCCTTAACAACTGTGCTACTAACTTTATCAACTGCAGTGATTCCCTTAACAACTATGGCAAGAGAGGTCGTAAAATGGGGCAAACTTCACTTAACAAATATCTCACTTAACAGCAGAAATTTTGGGCTCAATTGTGGTCATAAGTCAAGGACTACCTTAAGAACTTTAAGTCTTCCCCATCTCCTTTGCTACCATCCAACACTTTGCTTTGAATGAAAGGTGAAGTTCTGATAGACGTCCAACATATGGTTTCAAGTTTTAAGAAAACCAAGTCCTTTATGAGAGCTGGAAAACACCATCTAGAAACATTAATCAAAAGTTCAGGCTACTGATTGCGCAAACATAGTTGCAAAGACCTTCCCGCTACCTCTCCCCCAAATCTCTTCCTTTCCTAAATTTCATATACTGACAGTTTTCCACAAAGTAGTTACTTTCCACTACATCACTTGTAAGGGAGTGGTCTCTCTCTCTCTTTCTCTCCTTCTGTTCCCTCCTAATAAGCATTTACTTTATTTAACTTCACCAGTCACAACTCAGGAGTAATGGAAATTTCTGTCACAACCAATATTGCTTTGTCTTCCTGCATTGCCCCAGAAACATCACTCCCCAAAGCAAAAAGGTACCACCACAAGAGCAGCAACTTTAAATTTTAAAGGAATTATGCTCCTAAATATAGTTACTGTCACCGCAGGCTAACATCCTAGAACTGTGATGGCGAACCTATGGCACGCGTGCCACAGGTGACATGCAGAGCCCTCTCTGCGGGCACACCAGCCATTGCCCCAGCCCAGCTCCACTGCACATGCGCTCACACCTCCTGCCAGCTAGCTGGTCTTCAAGTCTCTGCCACGCATGCGGGGATGCATGCATGCATGCATGGGGGGGGGTGCAGGTTGGTGCAGGAGGCTTTCCAGGCCCAAAATGGGGTGGGGGCCTCATGCGGCGCTCCCGCACCGTTTTGCCTTCCAGGTTGGTGCAGGAAGCTTTCCAGGCCCAAAATGAGGCCTCATGCGGCCCCTTGTGCTCCATTTTGGCTTCCAGGTTGGTGCAGGAGGCTTTCCAGGCCCACAATGGGGCACGGGGGGTGTGTGCGGGGGGCACATGAAGGCCGCATATAAATTTAAGTAATACTTCAAGACTAGAAACCACCAAATAAGAGCAGGCTTTTGAATTTTTCAAGCACAAGTAATAAGATTTAATAGTAAAAAAAAAAAGAGCAAGTGGATGTCTGTTAACTGGACAATAAAATAGGCAATCCTTTTAAAAAGTAGTATTGGACAAACAAGAGAGGAAAGAAAATGGTTAGATATTTTAAAAATGAAGATGGCAGGCATGGTCCTGAGATTGCAGATGTAGAAGGATCAATCTCAGCTAGGTGACAAGTTCTTAGGACTACCTTTCAGACATCTGAAAGAATTGCCTTCTATTTTGGGAACTATATTACCAGTTATTAGTCATATTTGTCTTTATTCCTCCTAAAATAAATTATCACTCGCATTCAGCTGACAAAGCAACAGCTTTTGCACCTTCCACTCCTGTCTCAGCACACCTCCATTTGAACCTAGCAGCTAACTTTTCCCAACTTTCTATCATTGCTCTTAGAAGGGCCTCCCAAAAACACAAGACAACTCAACCCCAGACAGGTCAACCAGCTGCCCTGAAAACGTGCATTCCCACCAACCTTCCATGTGCAAGCAGCAGTGTGAGTGCAGCTGACCTGTCAGAGACACAATCTGCCCTCCGGCTGTAGATGGAAATCGGAAGACTGTCTGTTGTGCCTGCTGTAGCTGTCCAGGTACAGCCTGGCCCTGCTGGTTGGAAAAGGCCAGCGAGTGTGGCTGTAACTGAGTGAGAGGAATGGTAGGGGTCCCGGGAGGGAGTGGAGCACCTGCTGGAAGGAGGGAGAAAAAAAGGCTTTTTATCAGGGCCAGATGTTTTTAAAATCTCCTTCATTCCCTCTTGGATTCTTGTTAATCTCTCTCCTCCCAGATTATTATCATATGCAGCCTTCTCCAACCTTGTGCCTTCAGTTGGGTTCTGACTATAAATGCCAGAATTCCAAGTGGAATTCTGGGAGATGGAATATCCAGTTGAGGGAGGCTGCCATACATCTTTCATGGGAGGAAGAGGAGGGAAGGCACTGACCAAGCTCCATGTCCCAGTTCCAAACCCTACAATTCTCACAATCAGATGTCAAAGTGGGACTTTCCATTTCCTCAAAGGAACGAGGAGGCTGGCAGCAGAGACAGCAACACTACCATTTCCCTAAAACTTCCTGTTCTCCTGGTAGAACCTGTCCCTTGACCAGCTGGCCTCAGCCATACTCCTTTATGAAACAATCGTATTTAAGAGAATGCAGTTTTGGCATTTCCATTCCAGCTTCTCACAAGTCAAGGAAGGGCGAAGGTCTAGCGTGCTCAGTGTAATTGCAGAAGAATCAGCAGCTATCGCAAAAATGCTTCAACTGGCAAAAGAGAAACTGACCTGACATGAGGGTAAAGCCGGTAGGTATCTGCATGAGTCCTCCAGAGGCCACTGCGCTGGTTCCAGTGGTTTTCAGCACTGTTCCGTTGGCACTGGTGACTGTACTGGGGCTGACACTGGCAGAGACTGGTGCTAAGTAGTTAGTAATGGGGAACGAGGGCCCACTGCTGACCTGCATGGATGTGGATGTTGTGGGTGCTGTCTGGATGGTGGACGTCGTCCCTGGGAGGTTGGTGACAGTGAATGCTGGCTTCAGTGAGTCCTGCAAAAGAAGCGCAAGTAGGAAGAGCCAAGCCCAAACTGAGTACATTCCCCAGAGTTGAATACCCTTCTGACTATCTGGCAGTACAGTATCCACATCTAAAAGTAAAAGATAACATGTAGATAGAAGCCAATAAGCTCTCAAAATCACCATACTACTCCACACATGGTTGGATTCAATTCTCACTGCCCCTGACTACTCCCAGGCTACTGGTATAGACCAGTATTTTTCAAATTTGACTGTCTTTTAAAGAAGTGTAGAGTTCAACACCCAGAGAACTCAGTCAGCCATAAAAGAAACTCCTGGAAAGTATTTCAAAATATTATTAATGGCAGATCAATATTTCAGTGCTAGGTTATCAAGGAAAAAGGCAGTTAGCCCTTGAGTTACATAGCCTGGAAAAAACGATTCAAGCAACTCACAAACATCCCAGTCAAATGAATTCACTCATAAATAAGGGCAGGAGTTTTACTGAACCATTTTCCAAGACTCAGGATCCTAACCCCTGATTCTTTGACATTAAGCCATTATTAATGCAATTCCATGAAATTCCATGTCCCTGGCCATGGTCTGCTATTCTGGATTTAACAGATTGAAATGGTATCCACCACCAACAGCTGGTGGATCACTGTCTTCCCTTCTCCCCATTCTAAACCAAGGATATTCATTCTTACTTTGACATTTCACAATGGTTGAGAGTCCCATCAGCAGTCTAAGTAGCTTACCAAACACTTTCTTGGGGAGGCAACAAAGGCTTAAGAAACAGACTTATTCAGTCTCTTCTGGTAGGCCCAGTTTATGCTAAATCTGGGACCCAATGGCAGCAAGGACCTTCACCAGGGAATTATTTTTTTCTTAACATTTCACTTGGACATGCTTCCTATAACAAGTCCATGATTCTATATCCTGTCTTCTAGGAATACGATAGATTGTGTCTTTCTATATGACACCACTTCAGAATTGGCAAGTATTCTCATCCCCCCCCCCAGTCTTTTTTTTCTTAAGGCTAAACATACCCATTTCTCTCAATATCTTGTCAAAGAATCATATTTCTGATCTTTTGAGAATACTTATTGTCCTTCTCTTAATCACTTTCAAGTTGCCTGAATCCTTCTTAAATTTTGTTATCCAGAACCTGATGCAGCACTCAAGATTTATCTGGTACAGGTATCTTAGATGATGCAATCTTTTCATTTTGGTCTCTCAATATCTTGCCCTAATCCCTTCACAATAATCCAGTATTCTGCTGCTATAATCATTCACCCAACCCTGATTACATGATACCGATTCTTTAAATCCCTATACTAGGCTTCCTATACGTTCTATTTCAGATCCAAGTTACTTGCTCAGCTTCTATATGATATTCACATTTTCAAACCTAGAAAACTTTGAGATTTTCATAACTATTTTGGTATCTTCAATTATTTGGTTTATGCCACTCCTAAGATTAACAACAAATCTGATTTCTGTAGAACCAAAGTTTAGTCTTCAAATTTATGCTTTCGTTTTGCTTTGAGTTTCTTGTTTATTCATTTGCTTACACATCATTAATTCATATTGGTCAATATGTAATGCACAAACTGAATGCAAATAAATTAAAAGAACAATGTTGCTTTTCCCCTCCATGTAAATCTATTAAGATCAGATTTTGTAATATGAACAAATGCATTTCAATGCACAAAATGTCATTCATTTTCAATGTTTGAGATTACTTAGCTTTTGTTAATTAATAAGCCAAAACATGCAATATTTCCAACTACAGAGGATTGTTTATACTCACTATCTTGTATGATACCACTAGCTTTCCTGGAAGAGCAGTCTGGAGAACAATTTGAAGGGTTATCTCTCCAAGTACTTAGAGAAAGTTTTTGTTTTTGTTTTGTAAAAAATACAAAGCTATCCATTTTATCAGCTCATTGGAGCAGGAGTTGTTTTGCTACAAATAGCTTATCACTTACTATGAGTAAATTTTGTCTAGAAGCAAGGAAGGCTGCATCTATCTAAGTCAGTGTAACTTTAATTCTCTGTTAATTATATGTTTAAGTTTGTGAATTTCTGTTATTTTAATTGATTGATAATTTTATTGAGAAGTTTTTTGTGACCAGAGCCATAAACTGAATTGACTATAAATTCCCACTGTAACTTCCATGCTATAAAGAGTCATGCATATTTATGGCACTATATAAATGTGTAACTCTACAGAATGGACATTTTTAATCTGTAAATTTTACCTCTAAGAGATGGCTTTTCCAGAGATGACAGGTTCAGGTAGCATGACCTCTGAGTTACACATCCCATGAGACCATAATGCAATGTTGACTTAGCATTTCATGTGATCTGAGCCATTCTGGCTATGATATAAGGCTTGGTACCATATATGAATTCAGAAAACTATAGCCTATTCAAAAACCAATGCTTAAGCAAAACATAACATAGTCTAAAACATGAACCCTGTTATTGTACTTCAGGATAGGATAATAAGTCACATACTAGATTTTCTAGGATTTGCAGAGCAACTCTTAAGTGGGATAGAGAGGCCACTTGGTGGACATTGCTTCAAGAGTACTCTCTGGATCTATTTGATGCTTGAGATACACTCTCTAAATTCTGACAGCCCTGGTGGTCCAGGGGTTAGAATGCAGTATTGCAGGCAAACTCTGCCCACAGTCTGGAGTTCGATCCTGACAGGGCTCAAGGTTGACTCAGCCTTCCATCTTTCTGAGGTCAGTAAAATGAGGAGCCAGATTGTTGGAAGCCGTATGCAAATGCATTGTAAACGGCCCAAAGAGTGCTATAAAGCATTATGGAGGCATATAAGTAAGTTCTACTGCCAGGTGCTATTGCCATACAGGTCCCATCCTGTGGGATCCTGGACAGTAATTAATCTTAGCTGGATTAGGAAATGATCTGATCAAAGTAAATGGGTAGAAGTAATGCCCTCCATATTCAGATAAACAGTGATCTAGCATATGACCCCCCCCTAGATGTGCTGGATCAGAAATCACTTGGAACAAGTCACCTTTATGATGTAGACACTGAATTCTATGGCTTTCCCAGAGCTACACCACACTTATGGAATCATTCAATATTGAAAACTATGGTTACTCAAGCCTGGAATCCAGATCAAGGAGGCCAGAGAATGAGTCAACCAGAAAGCCATCCAGCATGCCTATTAAAATGGAGGTATTCAGTTCATGTCACATCCTTCATTGATGGTCCCAATGGCCTCTTCCCAATCTGATTCTAAACAGATGTAAATGTAAGATTAAATTATATATTTAATTACATTGCTTTCAAAATCTAATTAAATATATAATTTTGAAAAGTAGGGACTGCCAAACTGTTGTCTGCATGGAAATGGATCATTGGAACAGCAGTGATGTTTCCATACAGCAAAGGCTGGACAAGAGGCACAGTTGCACCAGTGTTTACTTTGTACTCAAAATACATTAAATTTTCCCCCTCTGCAAGTTTGATTGCCTAGTGTTCTAGATTCAAATCAGACTTTCAAATACCTCATAACAATATTCCTAAAAGAAGTATCTGACTAGTCCCCAAGTGAGTAAAAATAACCATCTGCTTACATGAGAAATATAATCGGCTAATTCTGAGTGAAGGCCAGTTCTGTTTGTTTGTTTGTTTGATTGATTGATTTAAAACATTTATGTAGCTACCCATCTTCTAATCAACTCTGGGCAGCTCCCAATCAAAAGATTTGGAGCTTCAGGACAGAGTTCCAGCCACTGGGAATCAAGCATATTTCACTTGCATAGTCCTCTCCTGCTTTAGTGTCTTGATAAAAAGTTGTTTTAAAAAACTATTGGGGTGGGGAGGGAAGTATATATATGGTAGTCATGTTTTAAGGGCTATTAAACTGGAGAAAATGCTGTCTTTTGGGATTAGAATGGCTATTTCTGTTTGAACTCTATAGTCTGCAATATCTTAACCTGTCCGGGGAGGGTTAATGTCTTGTTGTCATTAATGTTGTCAGTGTTCTTTCTGCTGCCAGCCCCCCCTCCCCCTCCCCTCCAACTCCCAGCACTACTATGTAGATCCAGCCGGCAGGCACTCCCATGTGCTTCTCCAGGCTCCTGACCTGACACACTGCCAAAAACAAGGAATTCACAGCTCAACTAACATCTAAAAAAGGAAAGGCAGACAACAAATCCAGAACACCCTTCCTGCTGCATAGAGGAGGGGGAAGACGGGATGAGGAGAGAAGGGGAGAGCCAGCCAGCAATTCCCTTCCCCTCTGCTCCTCTCCAGCCCTGGCACCAAGAACTGTGTAGATGGAATTAGGATGAGCATGTGATAATGGTGCACTGTTGAGCAAATTAACTTTCCATTATCTCAGCTGCAGCCTCCTTCTCATCACAGAGGACAGACCTATTGTTAAGGACAAAGCCGGACCAGCCACAGGACAAGGCCCCTTGCTGTGTTAACCTGAGGGATCACAGGATTTCTCCTAGACCTAGCAGGATGCATCTAACTTAGATCTTTGACAATGGGTCTGCTGGACCTGGACAGCCAACAGACCAGACCAAGAATTGCATAGTAAACTTTATTTTCTTAGCACTAGAAAGAAAAAATCTCCTATAAAACAGAGAGACCCTGAGCAAGTCAAAATACACAGTATTTGTACAGATTTCCACCAATCTGTTTTGAATCCCAGTTGTCCCCTCTATCTCCTCCTCCCTCCTGCCATGTCTGTCCATTATCTATTAGCAGTTTTTCAATCATCACCACCTTCTTATCAGCAATTGAACTATCAGCAATTGGACTTCCTCTTTAACTGAATATCAAGCATAGTTACAGTATGACAGCTGTCTTATTTTTTACATTCTATTCATCCCTTACACTCCTTTGGCTTTAGAAAGTTCTCTCCCTTAGAGCCATCCATTCTGGTCCTAACTGGCTTGAACCAAATTGGTCGAGTGAATGTGGGGACAAAGCTGGAATGGTGAGTATCTGGAGAGCAACAGAACTTCAGAAAAGACGCA